AAACCCTGGAAAAGGCGCAGGAGCAGTACACAGCCTGTCTGCAGGCCTACTGCAGGGTAGCCTACCCACGGGAGCACATGATGTTTCCCACTCTCCTCGGCAAGCTCACGGAGGTCCGAAGTGTCGGACAGGCCCTGGAGAAGGGCCTGCGGCCAGACTACGAGACCATGCTCAGAGTGAGGCCGCTCGTGTCGGAGATTTGGCCTAGGAAGTAGCAGTAGTGTGGAGCGGTCAGAAATATGAAGCAGTCATAAATGTGTACGAGATTAAAAAAAACTAACAATGTCGCGATGATAGTTTCTGTAGATTAATAATCCAATGGTAAGAAAGAGCCCACGTCTCTATATTATGAGTTTACACCGAACGGCGGTTATACCTGGTATACAGATACAGATACATACAGATACAGATTGTATGAAAGTACATGTATACAATAATATCACTCTTTGAAGTGCACCATGACTGTGATCGTAGACATATAACGTTACCCTTGTTATCACCCCCCCACACACACACACACACAATATTACGAATGCATTACAACGCAATGGACAAAGCTGAATTCACGGCTGTGATTTGTACGTTTTCATGTTACTATGGCCGAATAAAAACAATTCTATATAGAATCAAAAAGTTGTGACGGCATTTCTATGAATGGAGCACCTGAGATCAAATATCCACATGTAGTACACACGTTTGAAAATCACGAACCACATATATTTTTATAATGAGATCATGATCTACATTGTACATATGGCCGGAGGCGTCCTACCCTTCTTGCCACACCCGGTCATCGAACCTTGCTGTAGTTGCATAATTATTACGCAATTCATGCAACATCGCGCGGAGACTTGTTTCGATTCCGGTATTACCTTTGCCTAGAAGGTTATATTTTGGTAGCGTTTATCTATTTATTTGTTTGTTCGTTCGTTCGTTTGGATGCATGTATGTACGTATGAATGAGAATTGGCACGATGAGTCAAGAATGGATGGCTCTGTACATTGTACTTCAACAAAGTAAAAATCTGATCCTGTACTTGCCTGGTTACTATCGGGCAATGCCACAAACTTCGGGTGGCACTAATTTCTTCTTTCACTAATTCATTAAAAGTTGTGAAACAGAATTTTCAACTTCCGTGTTGTTATTCCGTACATTATTCACATACAGGTGTGCGTAAAAAAACAGGAATAACTGTGCATTTACTGTAAGAGGTTTTATGAAATTTTCGTAGAAACTTTACCTACATTTGAACTACTTGATGACCGCTAATGACCTGATAAGTCTCACCCTACAGACCCACCCAGTTATGAACGTAGCTGCCGGGAATATACCATTACCGTTCTGGGGGGCAGCCGAGTTCACGGGTTTAATCAACTGTGTAATTATGATGACGATTCAGACAAGTATAGATTACAATGATGATATTTATGTTCCGGCTATTGTCCCAGAGTAACCGGGCAAATACAGGTCACAACA